GCCACTGCAGAAAATTTGGAAACTACAGGAAAAATCAGAAGATTCCCGCACCCCACTGCCCGCCTGTTTCAGCCGGAATGCTAACTCCACTTCTGCAGCTGAGCAACTGAGGCTGGGCTTCGGTGTGGGTCCTCTGGCTGCGGCCGAGCCAGCGGTCGTTGGGTGAGAAGGCCCGGCCGGGTGGACGTGGCCTTCATGTCTGGGCACCTCCGAAGGGCCCCCTCCTCTCAGCACGCCCACTCACGTCTCAGGCGATGGTCCCGACGTTCCTCAGGCCTCTCTCCCAGCTCACAGGGCCCCTGAGCACTGGGGGAACCCGGTAGGGTGTTCCCGTGGGATGTGTGCCCAGGGCGATGCCCGTGAGGAGGGCCTGGGTGCTGGAAAGGCCTCTCCGCCGGGACAAGCAGAGTCCCCGAGACAGGAGGGTCAGCTGCCGGGCTGCAGGTCATGGTGTCGCGGGGGACCTGGCTTCACTCCTGAGCACCCTGCGGTGCTGGCCCCATGCTGGCCGTCCCTGGACACAGTGATGAGGCTGTGTGAGGTCCTGGGGCGGCTGTAACAAAGCACCGCCGACATTTATTCTCGTGCGGTCTGGAGGCCAGAAGTCCGAGATCAAGGGGTTGCAGGCCTGTCCCTCCCGAGGGCTCTCTGCTGGGCGTGAGGATGGCCGTCCCCTCCTGTGTCCTCACGTGCGTCCCTCTGTGTGCGTCTGTGTCCTCATCTCCTCTTCTTACATGGACACAGCCCTCTGGATTAGGACCCACCCCGACGACCTTATTTTAATGTAATCACCTCTTTAAAGATCCGACCTCCAAACGCAGTCACATTCTGAGGTGCTGGGGGTGAGGACTTCTGAGTATACATTTTGGGGGACACAATTCTGTCCATGACAAGGGAACTCAACCCCCAGGACCTGGCTCCTACCTGAGGCACCCACCCCCAAGCTCCTGAGACTGTGGTACCCGCTGCCCCTCCATCTCCCCTGGCACGGGTTGGAAGCCCAGCCTGAAGCTGGGGAAAAGCTGCCTGAAGACACTTCGAATCCCCAACACCCTCACCGGGCCCTCTCGGCTACCAGCGGAGAACGGCCCCCTCCAAATCCGCAGAGACGATTTTATCTGCCGTTCAGACAGATTACAGTTAAATTCTTTTGACTTAAATTTAAAAAACTCCCTTCACGGTAACACTGGAGGAGCAGTAAGTGTGAAAGAAGCCTCTTGTCTGGGGCCCATTCCTGGGTTGGGGAGGGAACCAGCGTCACTGCTGCCCTTGGGGTCAGGATGGAGGCGGCATTTCCTGCTGCCACCCCGACTCGGTGGGGCAGCTCTGTGGCGCCTGGCTGTTCTCTGCCGGAAGCGACCTGCAAGCTGACAGTTCCCACTGATGCCTGCTTATCCAGGGTTAAGTACTTGGTGTGCGTGGTGTTTGTTCAACTCTCACACTGAATTGATTTTCCCGCGTGATTTGGTTAAAGATGTCATGCTGGCCTCAGAAATCATGGCTGGAGGAGGGTCCACGGGAGGTGCCCGTGGTCTGAGGCACGGCGGGCAGCATGAGACGGCGGGGTAGGGGCATTTGGCCACGGGCACACCCTCTAGACAGATGAAGCTCTCCTTTCTTCCTTCTTAGCTGCGAGGTCAGAGCTGAAATCACAAGCGGCTGCACGGCCTTTCTGACGGCGGTGGAGAGGCGGGCCGTAGCTGGGTTCCCAGGGCAGCGTACCCTCAGAGCTGAGCTCCCACGATGACGTTTAGGAAGGGGATTTGTCGGTGTTTATGAGATCCAGTCTTTGCCTGACACGTGCGCGTCGTTCCTTGACGGCTCAGAGAAGTTCTTGGGGGAGAAAAACCACAGAAAAGGGTGCTGTCTTGTCCCCTTGTATGAACACAAGGTGATGGAGGCGCGGCCGGGCTGCAAGGTGGGGCCGAGTCCCGCTGTAGCCGCTGCGCGCAGGTCTCCCAACACGGGGCTCGGCCCTGAGCCTTTTATCCTTCACTCTGACTTTACACTGAGGTCGATGGGGGCCGCCCTCCCCACCCTCCGTTTCCTACGCGGTCACTCAGCCAGCATGTGTGGTGCCCCAGGGCAGGAGGCCTTCCAGGTGCGGGTGTGTGCAGGCTGACCCGGCTGGATGGGGCCCCTGTCCATGGGCTCTGGGGCTGGTCTGTGCAGCAGCGGGGCGGCTGGCAGTTTTTCTGCTGCTCACAGGGAGGGACGGCCCGTGTGAGACAGCTTTCAGTGGGATCCCGATGCTCTAAGGGAACCCGTTAAGGGGACCAGGCTGGCTTCACAAGGACTCGGACTGTCACAGGTGCTGCCAGGACGCTCTCTCCTCTTGTTTGTCGATCTCATTGTCCCAGGACTTGGTATAACCTAACCCAGTCATGCAGATGAAGTGTGTTAGTGTGTGTGTGTATGTGTACACACACGTGTACATGCGACTGCCTATATAAGCGTATATAAGTATGTGCATGTGCATACATGCATGTACACGTGTGATTGTGTATATGTGTATGTGGACACACATACATGTGTATATGCAATACAAGTATGTGTGTACACATGTGCCTATGTATCATTGCATGCTCATGTATGTGTATGCACGTGTATTATGATCATGTGTACAGTGCACAGAAGCATTGTGTGTGGACACCTTTTCATATGTGTGATTGCACGTGTGTATGTAAGTATGTGTGCGTGTGTCGACATGTGTATCACCTACGGGTGGTTGCGTGTATATGTAAGCATGTGTGTACGCATGTGTGGGTACATGTGTATGTGTATGCCTGTGTGGACACGTGTGTGGACCTGTGACTGTGTGTGTATGTGCATGTGTATTTGTGCATGTGTGCATGAGTGTTAAATTCAGTAATCATTGTAATTACTGAATTAATTCAGTAATCATTGATCAGGGGCAGGGTTTGGTGAGGTAGGCATTCGGCGTAACCCAGCAGACAGAAGACACTATTCAGCCCATCCCTCACCGATTGGGAGGGCGGGTGATAAAGTGTCTGTACAGGATGATGTGCAGGTTGAAGGCCTCAGTATCTAAACACGTGCTAAGTTTGGGTTGTATTTTAGCCAAAGCTGTGGTATGTACTGGCTTTAGCAGATGAAAATGAAAAACAAAACAAAAATAAGCGAGGCGGAACCCAAGCCCCCTGTCCATATTGAACTGAATTCAAGGAGAGATGGAACATTTCACAGCTCAAAAATGAATTATTCAAAGATGGGAAGTAATATTGTGGAATTCACCAAGAGGGAATAGATGCTCCGAGGAAACTGAACCAACGTGCAAATGAAATGTCCACAGAGCTCAGATTATGCTGACGGCCTTTGAAGTCAGTTTTTAGAGCAGATGCTTTTGGGGGGACGGAGATGGAGCTCACAGCCCCGGGAAGCACTGAGGAGTCTAAACGCACACGGGAAGGGGGTTCTGGGCGAGAGCTCAGGCGTGTGCAACGTGGTGAAGCCCGACTGTGAGCTATAGCCTGGGGCTGGGTCGGTCTCCCCTTGTGCGCGCAGGGCCACCCAGGACGTCCCCAGTGCTTGTCCCTAAAACAAAGGCAGGAAGAGGACAGCTTCGTCCCCTGAAGCGGGGGCCCTGAAATGTGCTGAGTAAACGCGGCTCCTCTGCCCATCTGCCCACTTAAACGTGGAGCTCCCATGCTGGAAACGGGCTCCAGCGTGCAGTGCTTGGTACCCCGCGTGGATTTCTTGGGCTCACGCTGCCTGCAGCCTGACCGAGCTGCCTCCGGCCTCACGTCCCTGGACACAGCCCCCAACATCCCCCTCGCAGCTCACAAACAGAGGACACGCACAGCCCCGCGCTCCGGGCACCGGTCTGACATTTAATGCTGAAGTACGCGGAGGCACGCAGCACTTCACTCAGGCCATCACTCTGAGACACACGGGTGAGGAAAGCACAGTGTCCTTTGTCTCCCCGTGGGAAGCGGGGGAGATTCCTGTGGTTTATCAGAAGCAGCCCGGGATACACAACACTACCAAAGAAAAAGGACAGTACCCATTTCTGTATAAGAATATATTATTTAGAAGACAGTTTAAAAATAAAAATTCTGTACAGCATCGTGAAGTCCTTTTTTTTTTGTTATCAGTGAACAAAATGGTTCTTAGAAAACACGATCTCTTGGTGGCAGATGCTCAGGACCACTTCTCTCTGCAGGGACGATCCCGCAAAGCCCAGCCGGCAGGGTCCAGGAGAGCAGCCCACAGCACTCTGCTTTCTTCAGGCATGATCTGCTTGGAAAAGGAAAAAGACGGCTGGTTTGTGACTGTGGGATCGGAAATGTGCGGGCAATGCCACAAATGTCGCAGGCTCACACACGAGCAATGAGCACTTCTCTCCCAGCATTCTGCGCATTTAGTCACTAAAGCAAGAGGAATGGGATTATTGCCTCTAGTTTAGAGACTGGGGCTCTGCGGCTCAGAGAGGTTGAGACGCTTGTGCACGTCACTCAGCTTGTAATTAGCAAAGCCCGGACTCAGAACAAGGATTGTTGGATGCCAGGGCCTGGCACCCACCTCTCCTCTATGAAACCAACCCAGTTCTCATGCCCTGTACCCTGACTGCTCTATAAGCGAGCATCTCCCAAGTGACCCTCATACACGTGTGTGGTGTGACCTTACCGCGCGGAGGCCGAATGGGCTGCTTTGCTTTCTACCTGTTCTAAATGCAAGCGCGCAGGAAGTGCTTGCAGCGACATAAGCAAAGACTTTATTTTTGAAAAGCTTTAAAAAAGTGCTTTTCCTTGTAAGTAGTACCTATGCTAATCATTGATCTTTTTCTAAGGCATGGCTCCTTTCAGAGCCTAATTGTAAAGATTACATGCAAGGAAGGAACGTTTCATTTAAAAACATTCACACATTCAGATTCTCTCCCTTCCTTCCCTCCGTCCCTCCTTCCTTCCCAGATTTCCACGCCGTCCCCATTTCAGTCTGGACTACCATATACACTGAGACATCGTTCAGAACAGCATTACCTTCACGTTTTCCCCCATCTCTGCTTTTCTCTCTTGACGTGGTGCTCTCAGGTGTCAGACTCTCAGTCTTCTGCTGTAACCAGGACAGAGGATACGGAAGGCAAAAATCAAGCTCCAGGAACCAGTGAGTGAGTGACTGCTCGTCTGCCCAAGACCTTCCCGGGGCTGCAGATGCTAAGACGCGGGAGGAGACTGGGGTCTACAGCCTGGGGGAGCTTCCCGGACAACAGCTGTGCAGGGGCCACCTTCCCTGCAGTCAGAGGCCTCACTGCACACGGCCACTGTCCTCTCACTCATGCTGGCCGCAGATGCAGTGCCAGCGCACTGGTGGATGCGGGTGCAGAGTCCGAGGCCCTTTCACCTCTTTTGTGGGTCTGTTCTCTCTGGGAACAGGAAGGGGGCACTGGAGGGTCCTAACGGCCCTTCTAGGCGGCTGGCCTGGGACGTGGAGACTGAGGCCTTTGCAGCGATGGCTCTCAGTTGACCCTGGGGAGTCAGGCCCCTTTAGCCCTCCTGTCAGGGGGCTCGGCAGGGGGACACCGCCTCTTCCACCTGTTCTCTGCATCATTTGCTCTTAGGTTCTTGGAGCTTCAGGACCCGTCTGTGACTTTTTTTTTTTTTTTGCAGTACGCGGGCCTCTCACTGCTGTGGCCTCTCCCGTTGCGGAGCACAGGCTCCGGACGCGCAGGCTCAGCGGCCATGGCTCACGGGCCCAGCCGCTCCGCGGCATGTGGGATCCTCCCGGACCGGGGCACGAACCCGCGTCCCCTGCATCGGCAGGCGGACTCCCAACCACTGCGCTACCAGGGAAGCCCCTACATTCCTGAGCTCTTAACTCTCCACAACGTCTTAGTACTTGTGAGTTCCCCAGCACTCCCTTTTTCAGTCCTTCACCTGGAATGCTGAGGGGTTTTTTTTATTTTTTATTTTTATTTTGCAGTACGCGGGCCTCTCACTGTTGCGGCCTCTCCCGTTGCGGAGCACAGGCTCCGGACGCGCAGGCTCAGCGGCCATGGCTCACGGGCCCAGCCGCTCCGCGGCATGTGGGATCCTCCCGGACCGGGGCACGAACCCGCGTCCCCTGCATCGGCAGGCGGACTCTCAACCGGTGCGCCCCCAGGGAGGCCCCGTCTGTGACTTCTTGGGAGAAGAATCCGAGTAGAGCAATCGGCTGCCGGCACGGATTTGCCCATCGACCCATCCGCATGTACCGAGCACCATATTGCGTGCGGCATTGTACACGAAGGAGGTCGAGAGCCGCAGCGATGCTCAGCGGGGCACAGTGGGAGTTCCTGGCTGAAAAGAGGGGTGGGGCCCTGCCCGCAGTGAGGACAAATGGCACAGAAGGGGGCCCTTGGGTGGGTGCGGGGGGACACCGGCCAAGGCCAGAGGGGGACCAAGCCCGAGGCAGCAGGGACGGGCCCCAGAGAGAGGGGGTGGGAGGGTGGATGGAAGGGAGGCCACACCCAAGTGGCTGGACGTCACGGGGGCAGGTCCCAGGGGTCCCAAGAGGCAGGGGGACCTGAAGCAGATCTGCACACACTGGGGTCCTGCCTTGGCCAGACCAGCTTCTGGGGCTTTTCTGAAAACCTCTACCCCAGCTCTGAGCCTATGAACTGGACCTCCCTGAGACAAAGGATCAATCCCAACAGCAGCCTGGAGCCAGACCCAGACCCTCCTCAAGGTGCCACGCTGCCACGTGGTAGCCCTGTGGCCGGGTCGTGGTGGTGGCTTTTCCCGTGTCAGGGGGAGCATCTCTTCCGCCGCCCTCCCTCTGCATAAGGTCAGCCCCGGGAGGAGGTGAGGGACCTGCACGGGGCCAGGGCGCTGCTCTGAGGGGATGCAGGCAGTCGAGGCACTGTGATGCTCTGGATTTCCCGTGGGCGATCGCGGCCACGGGGCACCGACTCTGCCCGAGGTTCTGTGCGTTCCATGCCGTGAGTTCCCCGAGGACTGACCCCTCTCCTCCGTGGGACACACGAGCTCCTATCTGGAGGGCCCCCCGGGCCGTGTGGCCGGGCCCCGCGGCCCCCGTGCCTGCGGCAGCCCGGCTCACCTCCTTCATGGCGTTGTCCATTTGCTTCAGCTCCTCGTAGCGGTCTCTGGATTCCCACAGGGGCTGCAGCATGAGCTCCTCCACCGCAGGGAAGAGCTGCGAGGGAACAAACGGGCCCTCTCAACAGCCGGTCACCCCCGCAGAAAACGTTGGCGCAAAACCGTGCCAGGTCCCGTGCGTCGCGGGAGAAAAGCCGCATGGGAAATGTGCTTCTGTCCAAGGGACACTTTTGGAACCCTCTTGGGTCTCGGCTGTGGCGGAATCCAAGGTGCCCGAGGTTTGAAGCCGACTGGTCAATGAGTCCCGGGAGCCCTTGGGGAGGGAGGGCCCCCGCTCGCTGCCCACCCCCCCCTTCCAGGTCCCTGCTTCCTGCTCTCACACTGTCCTCGCGGACCAGGCAGAAGCCCCCCCCTACCCTCTGCTTGAAGGGACCCCCGACCGTCCACCCTGCAGACTCTCATCTTCCGAACGCCAACCTCGCCCACTAGAGCCCTGGCAGCCCCGGGGCGGG